AAAAGTCCGACCACAACAATTTAAGATGCCTGTTTTTGTACAATTTCACCACAACAATTTAAGATGCCTTGTTTTTGTACAATTTCTAATTGGAGACAATATATACAGAATTTTTATTTTTATATTTATTTTTTAGACTCAGTTAATGGTATGGGCAAAACTGGGTTCATATGGCTACGGACATATGGTATGAAACATGCCAGTTTTAGTTATTTTTGCAAGGGACAATGCCCTTTCAAAATTCAAATAGATGAATTTATTGGATACCATTGTGTATATATATAGATGAAAATTCAAACTTAAATGAAATTCTATGTGTAATGCTCCCTACATAATAGTTATTTCAAGCCTACAAAATATTATAAACTATATTTGACCCATCTAATCTACAATATAAAATATAAATCATAAAGAGAGGCATGGTTAGTTGGAAACCTAATTAATATATATGTAATTGAAATCCTATATAGATCTGCTACTTCACATTAATGAACTACTCCATCACTTTTCTAGACTAGCATAATACTACTCACTTGTGTGATGTACTTAATGTGTGCTTTTTTAAAACAGTTGATACAATGTTATAATTTAAGTATGTAGCTAAATTGTTAAGATTTATTAAACAAAATTAAGTTATAAGTAATAATATCTTGATTAAAATTTAATAACTGATATTTTAAACAAGAAAAGGTTAATATTGCAAATTTTCATTAGTCTTTCACATCTTCTATTATGTTTTTAGTATTAACTATTATGAATAGTCCTACTATTTTGCTTCACTTTTTCAGATCATTTTTATGTTTTTTATTTTCCTCTTTTGAAAAACAGGCTGCCAATTGGACCACTAATCTCAGCCTTTAATAAATGTGTGTGAATTTAAAGCAAAGACCAAGTCTGGTTACAGAATCATCATTACATGCATCTACACCACTTGGGTGGAGTGGGCCTCTATCAGCTTGTCTGTCACGTGATAATAGCCCAAACTAATTTGGGCTTTTGCAAATAGGGCCTACTTTCAAATTATTCTTTAATCAGCGACTCAAAGGACGAGTACTCATTTGCATTGTGGAGATAAATGTACTTTTGCATGTGGACCACATTTGGGATGATATGAGAGATTTCAATGACAATTCCAAAGTTATTGACATATTTTATCGTCTCAATGATCAAACTTATTGAATTAGGTGTATCGGACTAAACGAGTTTAGCTAGAGGGCTTGATCCTTAAGCTCCCGCGCAATTCGTTGTATAAACGAGCTCAAGTTCGACTCGTCGATCAATATTAATAAATCGAGCTTCAGCTGAATTCAACAAGTTGAACTTTATATTCTCGAGCCTTAGCGAGTCAAGTTGACTCGACTTGTTAACTAAACGAGTTTTAAATGAGTTCGAACTTGATTCATTTATCAAACGAGTCGAGCCGATCTCGTAAACAATTTGTTTCGCTTAACATCTTTTATTAGGTGCAATCGGGTCTACATATTCTATATATTTGGGTAAATTTTGGTAATTATAATTTGACTAGAATGTAGAACAAATAATTACATATGAGAAAACATACATTTGTTTTTTTAAAAAAAAAACCATGTTTGTGTGAAAACCAACCTAACAGTGGGCGCAAGTCTATGTTTTGCACTTTTGACAAAAATACATATTTATAATGAGAAATATCATACTTTTCATCTTATTTTTCAAAGTACATAGCTTATGTACGAGAAGACAACTATGTGTTCAAAAAGTATAATTATTTAATTGCTAGACTTAACAAAAACTTATTGTTAAATATGTAAATATTGAGATTATACTATAGATTAGGATTAGGCTAAGGCCCATATATGTATCTATATATATGTGTACTTCTCTTTGTGAATAATACAACATATATTTTTCCCACATTCTCACATGGTATCAGAGTAGGTTTAGAGTCCAATATAAGGTTAGTATTTTTCGCTCTTCTCCGGCCGTCGTCAATTCTCACCTCCCATACCATCATCACCGGCATCCTCCGGCGACCAAACGCTCCAAATTTCGGCCCGCGCGCCCGATTTCTGCGACAGCGCCGGCAGCTTCAGCCGGCGCGTGGGGCCCACCCCCAGCTCCGATCGCCGCGATTTTTCAGCCGTAAACTCCCCTCTTCGTCGGCTACGTCCTGGTGTGGTCGGTTTTGGTTTTCGTGAACTTTTTAATTTCCTCTCTTTTGTGCTATTTTGACGGTTTCGTGATCCGATTTCTGCCTATTTTTTCATCTGTTTCGTATTATTGTGTTGATCTGCTTTTTGGATATGGATCGTATGGATTTGCATTTCCCTATTAGTGTTGTCTTATCAGGAGACAATTATAGTCTTTGGGCACAGTCTATGAAGAGTTTTTTAATTGGGAGAAAATTGTGGCGGATTGTGACTGGTGATGTGTTGCCACCTGTACATCCGTCTCTTTCTGGGGATCCCAACCCCACACCACAGGTTCTTACAGCTTACGTCGATAAGTTGGAGGATTGGGATAGTAAGAACCATCAGATTCTTACTTGGTTACGTAATACTTCAGTCCCTGCTATTCAGGTGCAGC